CTGTATACTTTTTATTTAAAATTGTATACAATGTAACATTCTTCTTCTTTCACTGGGTAAGTATATTAGTACTTAGGCAATACTGTGCTTCTGCACTTTGACACTTCGGAATTTCAGCAACTGCGACACTTTGGAAATTTGGTAATTTCGGCACTTCGGACATTCGGAAGTACCCGAATGTCCGAATTGCCCGAAATTCGTCAGAATTCATATTCAGACCGAAACGAATTGCACATGTCTACTGTCTTGCCTTTACCTAGGTTTGCATGTTAGGATTAGACTAACCATAACAAGTTAGAGCCTGGAGCAAATAAAAGAATGTTAATAAGACTTTAATTTTAACGCAGTTTACTCAATCCACCCAGGATATCACATTTATTCCACGTCAGATTTCAATTGTGTAAACACAATTGTGTAATTTACAAGACAGTTTTTGGTTGTTTTTGTTCTGTTGCTTATCAATTGTTTTAGAATTATGGAATCAAATCATGTTTACACAATTAGAATATTTAGCAACAGTTGTCCCTAGATTATATATCCTGAGGAGAGAGGTTTATAATGGAGTGCATTCGTATTGGGAAAGATTGAAAGATGGAGCATTTGATTTTAGTTCAATATTTTTATTTTGTTAAGAGCATTGTCCTTGTTCATGTTTCATTTTCAATGCTAGAGTCAAGGCTGGTACAAATCTACAGTGATGGTCCTTTTCACTGAGCCATCTCAGGGCATTGCTAACATGACACTCTTATTAAAACATGTTGCCACAGAAACAAATTGCTCTGGTGATGAAATAAATAAATACATTTAAAAATCCTATGAACCAGATGTGTTCTAGCAAAGTCACAAGGGATGGGTCTCTTACATTCCGTCTGTGCATTAGCTCATCCACCTTAGTTTCTGCAATTGAGGAACTGTAAAATCCTTAGATATTGATCTGATTTGCAATACATCCCCTCGACCACTTCTGAAGTGAAGGCTACATGATAAGTTTTCTAATTGTAGATATGTGGGATATTATATATTATACAAATTTGGAGAAATTAAATTAGGCGACTGTAGCGGACTAGCCCCTGTACAAGAGTCTGCCTCGGTTTCATGGAGGGGGCTGCTTGCTCACCGCCTGCCCAGTGATTATGGTCCCGGGAAGATGGGACCCTTTAAACACCATGGCTGGGCTTAATGGGATTTTTGTACGGCACTACTGGCCCTTTAAGAACCAGCCAAAAGCATATAATATAATATTGCAGAGACTTCGGACTATATAAATTATGCAGCACAGGACATTGCGCTGTCTACCAAAATTTGTGTATTTTAAAATGCTTTCGTGTTTTGCTATTCCATGTATTTACATTGTATGATTGTTCGGTAAAATCACTCCGTTTACTATACAAGTGAAACTACCAAACAATCAGACCACCCCAGGGATAAGTGTGCCTCTCATTACCGTTTGCAACAACGTTGCAAACCTCTAATTGACAATCGGTACTTTGTTCTATGGGTGGCCGCCATTCTGGAGTTTTACACGTGGCGGTGGCCATCTTAATCTCCCAAACAGCGATGTTTTGCCGTCGAGTGTCTGGAACTAAAATCAGTCACTCAACTAGGCAAACACAGCTGAGACCTCCAGACTTCCATAAATTAGTGCCGAAACTACCGAACGAGCGGCCATTCGGTAGAAAGACTAATGCAAACACGGGGATTTACACAAACACCAGTATAGCCATGGATGGCAAACATTTAGTGACTTTTATTCCGCGAACGGAGACCGACCGCAAGGCCAAAACTTATAGAACTATTTTCGGATACTGTTGCCTGTGCGGTCGGTCAAAACTTTACTTGACCATAACTCCCGAACCCCTGGTCCGATCTGGTTGATTATTGAATATGTTATTCACCCCGATCAGGTCTATCAGGTCTATGTATTTGGGGTGCATCTAGAACTTGGGGGAAAATATGTACCTTTTAATTCTGTTAACAGATAAGCTGATGGTAGGAGATGTGTGGGTTGTACCTTGTACTTTATTGGTTAATGTACTAATTATTGTGGGTCGCTCCCTTGCTCAGGAGCATTGCATAAAAGCAGGGGTTGTGTGATTAAAAGTGAGTTCAGTTCTGATCCTGATACTGTGTGTCGTCCAGTTATTGGGAAAGGTGATGGGATATTATTGGATGGTATTGCTGATTGTGCTTGCTACGCTGTTGGATTATTCTATTACTGTGGATGTTTCTCCTGGGGTCACTACTTGTTCCTGAGCCACACCTGGACTACCAGCGAAATAGTCTGTGAGAGACCAGCGTTCCGCTACAGCGACAAAGATTATAAATTAGACTCAGTAAATCCATATCCAAAGATGCATTTCCTCAACCAGTCTCCATTCGTGAGGTTCCTGTGCGAAACCCCTGCAAGGGAAGTGTCTCCTTTCGGAATATGAATGTTCCCCCCTGGTTGGCGTTCGTCTATAAGAAATGGTGGCCACCCATTGGGGCACTCATTAATTACTTCCCCTTCAGTTTTGCACTTATGTTACAGGTGCGAACGTTCTAATGGATTGATGTGAACATTCTAATGTAGCACCGGGGTGGCCCCGTTCGGGTGATGAACGGGTTCCATTCATGTGAACGCTCCCAAATGGGGAAACAGGGCATAACACACGAAAAACAGTAATACATGGGGAAAAAATACGAAGGAACAGGCACATTGATGAAAGTGGTTTTGCCGCAGGCACCAAGTCTGTAGTTTCGTCACAGAAGTAAGAATAATTTAACAACTGATTGAGATTGATAGCCTCCAGCTGTACCACTATTTTTTTATATTTCTAAGTTTTTTTATTTATATATTATCAATATGCATGACAATGTATTATTATAGACAATCAGCGATAATCTTTGTACCACCCCGTTTTATACACCGTACACATTTTAGAAAAGTATACGTTAAAAAGAATAATAATAATTATGTATATATACATCCACATACATATATACACACACATACATTCTCACTCCTCCCGTTGGCTTATTTTTTTTTTCATTCATCGGCCCTCTACTGTCTGTCCAAGAAGTCTGAGGGTTCTTTGAAGTATTTTAAATGTTCCTAGAACTGCACTCTTCTAGACATCCCTTATCGACCGTCTCTTGAAGAAAATGATTAAATATATATATATATATATATATATAAAAACTAAGAAAATTATATATAATGCTTCTTGCCTTTCATGTGTTAAACTTTTAGCTAAGCATGTTTAATGCTTATTTTACATATATCCCTTCCCAACTACTCTATCCTGTTTCCAGTCTTCTCATCTTCTTATAGTGAAAAATAAAAAGGTCCTAACCGTTTTGTGCTATCAGAGCCTTTCACGGGTTAAGTTTAGCTAAGCAGTTTTTCAGCCTGGAAGTTGTAATGGTTTTATTTATTTATTTATTTTTAAATTCTTTATTTTTGTCGTGCAAGAATTTACAACAGTGTCTGTGTAGCCACAACAGCTGTAACAGACGCAGTCAAATATAACATATGTAACAAACCACCTCTTTTACAGGTAGGATTGTCACCGATCTTGCAGTAACCACAGCCTTCTAGGGTATACAAAGTCCAGGACACCTTCAGCTCAGTTTTCCTTTTTATTCAGTAAGAAAGCAGGTACTTTAAATAATAACAAAAACAAACAAAATCCCTTGCTCTTACTTGAGCTCTTACTAGACAGTAATTGCTATCTGCAATTGGGTGGCTTTCCCACTTACCAATTTTCCAAACAAAAGCAATGTCTTTGCAATAAACACAATCTCTCCTAGCTGTCTTTTTCTCCCTCACTCTGCAGCAGGCTGCTCTCTTCTTTTAAAGGCCTGTCTACTAATTGAGTAGCTACAGGTGAGTGCCAATTAGTTAACTCTTAAAATCAGATCCAAGCTGTGGTCTGTTATACAGCAACTAGTGCTGTTGGAGCATTGGCCCAACCTGCTCTCCAAATACTCCGCCCCAGGGACCCATACCATGTTTTGCAGAGCATCAGCTATGCATATTGCAAACTTTAACATCTCTCCCTGGGGCATTTAACTGAAAAATCCTCTGGTTGCTGTTTAGCAAATCAGGTCTGATGTATCTCCCATCAACCACTATTCCACCTTTACGCTCACACATATTAAAACATTTTCGTGGCGTAAGTTAACTCAGCACGTTTTTGTAATTTAGTGAACAGGATTAGGTCAAAGAATATGTAAGGCATTCAATTAAACATTGCTAGTGTGTCTTCGAGTTAGGTGTAAGGACTGGTCTAGTGAAGGAGGTATGCCTACATTGCTGTATCATAGATAGGTCTGGCTACCGGAAAGCCTATATGTCGCAGCGGTTAGCAGCATCATATTGGGCTAACCCTTAAGGTTAATATGCTTTGTGAACACATTTTTGTCATGCTTATTTTGTAAAGTTTCATCGCATTAATATCTGTCACGGTACCCTCCAGCATACACCAAACATTATGCACTTATTCACGTTGGGTCAAGTCGCTTATATTAAGTAGGGTCATCGCACATTTTGCAGCATTATACTAGGAATTCACTTGGTGTCCAAAACTGAGTGCGAAATGTATGAGATTATAGCGAAAACAGACATATGTATAGACGCTTTTAAGTGACAGTAGCTTAGCTAGGGTAAAGATAAATCAATCTAGGAAATCTCAGGTCATCATAGGCAGCTTAAGGAGTCCCAAAGTGGTGACTTTTCTGGTTACCCGGTTTCAGTCCAGCATGGGTGGGAGTCCAGTAGTCAGGGTTTCATCCGATACCCGTTGTTGGTCTGCTCAGTGAGCCAGCATATAGCCTGGTGGGTTTGTTTAATCGATACCCGATGCTGGCAGTGTGCTTGCTCTGAAGGTTGTCGCACAGGATAAGCGTGGATGCAGCTGCAGCTACTTTAGTTGCCTCCAGGAGGGATAGGATGGGCCTCAGGAGAGTGACGGTGCTTTCCTCAGGCACAAAGGAGTTTTTCCACCAAATACATATGCTGCAAATATCACCTTGTTTAGCCCAGTGTAGTGAGCCGACACATCCCTGGAGATGATTACTGTGGTGGTCAGATGGCGCTGGATGGTTTCGTCTGTGTGCAAGTTCCATCCTGTGGGTAGTTTGCACTTGTGGCTGGTGTGCGGCGGCCATCTTGGGAGGGTGCTGCTGGTGAGTGTTTCCCAGCGGGGTGATTGTTTTCTGCCCAGCTTGGCGTAATAGCAGTTGATTATGTGGACCGGGATGACCCCCCCCGGTCCATAGGGGGGGGGAGGGCCGGACACCAACCAGAGACCCGGGAGAGCGGCCGTCTCATCCCGGCTCAAGCTCCAACATGCCTCAGGCCGTTGTCGGGTCACTGTAGGCACCGGACAGGATCGTGAGGGGTTTCTCCTCGTACCCCAGGATTTGGGGCTCCGTTTAGACTCCGTTGCGGGTTGCTGGAAAGATTTTGCCTCCAGTTTGCGCCGATTTTCCGGCCCCAAAGCGGGAGCTCAGACAGAGCACGTCTGATCCCGTCGGCGGTCCGGCCCCGCCCCCGTAATGGTTTTATTTTTATGGGAATTATATATGTATTACATCTTCAAATTTAAAAATAAACTACTGGTGGAAGTTAATACAGGGACCGACGGAAGACAGAGAATCAACTAGATATCAGAATCCTAATATAGATCATCAAGAAGAATTTTATGAATTTTATGTTTTTAATTCTGGTTTCAAACCATAAGGTTGCATACTTGGCTTTCATGCCCTAGGAAGTTTGATTCAAACATGTACGTTTTAGATGCGTTAAAAAGTTCAACACTGTATCCTTCCGTACTGGAGTAATAATTACAAAGCACTGTGGTCAAATGTGGTTGAGTTACAGAAAACATTAATGTGGTTTGATTTAGCACTGATGGTGGAGATCGATTAACATTTTGATAACTTTATGATAACTATTGCTGCTGGTTTGAAATGTGTCAGCGAATACAGGGATAGGCAACCTTCGGCACTCCAGATGTTGTGGACTAGCACAACATCAAGGTACTGATGGACCTTCAACCATGTCAGCTACTCCTGACTCACTGTTAGCTCTCAACACTCAGTGTACACATGATTAATGCAGCAAGATATGGATAGACTCATACTGATAGACTCATTTGCAAAAACAAATGTAAGGAAATCGGAAGTTGATGGACGCATGTATCTTTTCAGCTATAGTAACCTTTGAAGCTGGTAATATAATTAAACTGCAGTGGTAATATGGAGCCAATATGTTGCTGATATGGTTAACAGAAGCAACAATCATTATAGATTAAAACAGATTGAAATCAGATTCAGATTAGTCCTCAGAGCCAAAGCCTCAGTCCTGCAGTTTGAAGCTTTTCAATTTGCCACAGCATGAGAGTTTATATATATATATATATATATATATATATATATATAATATATTTGAGTAAATTCCTTTTATTAACCTGCCCTTAGGCAGTCAGTGGGGCTATTGGAGGAGAGAAAAAGATATTACACACTTACATTTGGCAGGAGCTTCTGCTGCAGTGCTCTCCCTCTGCTGCTTCCAAATGGGTTATTGCTTCTCTCTCCTGTGAGCACTGTAACCCCACCCCATGGTTCTATCAGCCAATGATAGCCCCTGATCAGAGAGGCCAATAGCATGCCTCCATTCATAGACAGCTGGCTCTACTGCCCACATGGCAACTCAATGGAAATTCCTTCTTAAGAGAGACTAGGCATGTGCAAAACCTGCTGAAACAGGACAGATTTAAAACCAGCCAAAGTATTTTTTTACAAGCCTAGGTGCTCTTAAGTAAGCTTCTATAAACAGCTATCAATGTGTTTGGAGGGGCCCTGCATAAATGAAACCTATTACAGAGTTAAAGAAATGCAAATTTTTGCCCCATATTTTTGGGGGGCTTACCACACTCCATTCCAGAAAAAAAAAACTCTTCATGTTTCTAAACTATTGCAAATCTATTTTTCTGCACATAAAAACTAGTGGGTTGCTGTCTCAAGTGCCCATACGGACGAGCCTCCACTGTTAAATGGCATGCGTGCCATGCAATGGAGCCTATCCAAGTGGAGCACATGGGAGTTAATTGCAAATTTTACCTCTTGCATATATTACAATTTAAAAATATAGTGTGTGACATTGAGTATAGAATTTCATGTAGATTTGCAATATCTTTATAGATAGCCTTGAGAACTTTTACAACAGACTTTCCTATGGACATTCTGCACACTGAATGCGATTTTCGCATCCAGCGTCGCAGAAGCGCCTTTAGCGGCTGTCAGGAAGACAGCCACTAGAGGCTGGATTAACCCTGCAATGTAAACATAGCGGTTTCTCTGAAACCGCTATGTTTACATCTGAAGGGTTAAAACCTGGGGGACCTGGCACCCAGACCACTTCACTGAGCTGAAGGGGTCTGGGTGACTATAGTGGTCCCTTAAGCTAAATCATAGGGAACGGCAGATCACACTTTACAATATCAGAGTGCTCTGATTCATTGGATGACCATGGGTAGGGGTATAGGGGGATATTATGATGTTCCTACAATTGTCTTTTATTAAATAGCTCCCACCTTTTACATCACCCATCCTATTGGAAGGGGATTTCTAGTAACTGGGCAGCAACTGCTGCCAATTCAGTAGTTTTAAACATTTAGGAGAACTGTCCCCACCTGCTGCATGGCAATTGGGGGCATAGGGAGGAATTATATAATATAGTTATATGGGATGATAATGACTTCCAAAACGTTTGAATTTTTTTTTTCTTCACGTTTTAAATGTGGCGGTTGGCTAAGAAACACCTGCCTGTCTCCACATTAACCCTCACACGACTGATGTTTATTTAACTATAGTACTATATTATTATAGTAATTAAGTGAAAAGTGTACTGAAGGATCAGCGCTTAAAAAGAACAGTCCAAAAAGAGTTCAGTAAAACCTTTGGATGAGAGAACAATAACAGTTCTATCTGAGGTAGAGACGTCTATGGAGTAGTGGGATCAAGTGGTTTGTAGGATTCGTGTGAAAGAGAAAAGAAAATCTAATAGTGCAATAAAACCCAAATAGGTAGCAGCCAATAAAAAAGGTCTATATGGTCCTACTCACGTTTTTGAGAGCTAAAAACTAGCTCTAGTATAAACAGCGTACAGTGGTATAATCCCCACTTATGGGATGTGTGAGGGAGTGTTGTAAGTAGATATCTTGTATGGGGACCATATGTAACATAAAAAACAACAATAGTGCTCACTGTGATAAAACCAGGAGAGTGTATAAAAATACCAAATGGTTACTCACATTTAATTGGGCAGACGCACTGCTCAATGATAGGGCGTAAGTGGTATAATCCCCACCAAGAATGCTTTGGAGTAGTATCTCTCTGGAACAAGTAAAACTCAGATGCCTGCCAAGTAGTAAAATAATAAAAATAGTAAAAAAGATAAAATGGCTAACTCACAACAAAGAAAGTGGCCAAAATACCTTTATTAAAATGCAGTTAGTTAAAATTTCCACAACGCGTTTCTCCCCTTAGGGCTTTCTCAAGTGGATAAACAGTTTTTGTACTTCCAACAGCGTCAGACTTCTCAGTGTTGCATGCTAAGGTCTGATCATGTCCTATTTGGAATAAAGGATTTGGTAGAGGAGCTGGTATCTAGTAAGCATCCGATAACTGTGTACCATCCCTGAAGTGATGGGTCTGGTCGCAGTGACCATGGTAGTTCCACCACTGTAACCATGTTCGCTCGATGCACAGTGATGCATATTTTTTTCCCCTTAAAAAGCAGTCATTTTGTTCTCCACTATTTATTTCCTCTTTTAAAGCAGTTCTGTTCCCCCATGCCACCACAAAAGAATTACATAATCTTTATGAAGGACTGTAAAGTAATTTTACTGAAATCCCAATTTAGTCAAACTATATAAGACAAAGTAGGGACTACTTTGTCTTATGTATTTTTCCTGTGCTTGACAGAAGGTAGAGCTACCTAGTTTCCAATTCTTTTTTTGACTATGTTTAAGTTTTAATTAGGGATCGACCGATATTGATTTTTTAGAGCCGATACCGATACCAATATTCTGTGAACTTTCAGGCCGATAGCCGATATAATTTGCCGATATTCTGTACATTTACCATTTTGGAAAATAAAAACTTTCTAAAGGTAAATGCACAAAATATACATGCCACGTGTAGTGGATGCAGTGTGTTTAGACAGGGAAGCTGTATGTATTTGTGTAGTGGATGCAGTGTGTGTTTGTGTAGTGTGTGTAGTGGATGCAGTGTGTGTTTGTGTAGTGTGTGCAGTGTGTATTTGTCTAGTGTGTAGTGGATGCAGTGTGTATTTGTCTAGTGTGTAGTGGATGCAGTGTGTATTAGTGTTGTGTGTGTATATAATGAAAGCAGAGTGTTTGTGTAGTGTGTGGGTAGTGTGCGTAAAGTGAATGCAGTATATACTAAATGCAAAGTGTGTGTGTTTGTGTAGTGTATATAATGAATGCAGTGTGTTTATATAATACAGAGTGTGTGTGTTTGTATAGTGTTTATATAATGCAGTGTGTTTGTGAAGTGTGCATTATATAAACACACTATGCAAACACACACTGCATTAATTATATACACACACTGCATTATATACGCACACTACACACATTGCATTATATACGCATACTGCATTATATGCGCACACTGCACACACACACTGCATTATATACACACACTACACAAACACTGCATTGTATACACACTACACACACACTGCATTATATACACAGTGTGTTTGTGTAGTGTGTGTGTATATAATGCAGTGTGTGTGTATAGTGTGTATATATAATGCAGTGTGTTTGTATAGTGTGTATATATAAACACACTACACAAACACTGCCTTATATACACACACTATACAAACACACATTGCATTATATACACAGTGTGTATGTTTATATAATGGAGTGTGTGTGTGTGTGTGTGAGGGGGGGCATTTTTTATTACTATTTTTTTAATATATATTTAATTATTTATTGTTGTTGTCCCTCCTCCCTGTTTCATACCTGGCCAGGGATGGGGGATATAGCAGTTCCTGGTGGTCCAGTGGTATTGGCTGAGCTGGGGGGGCGGGCAGCAAGCGCTTACTCACCTCCCAGCAGCTCCTCCAGCTCCCCAGTGTAACTCTCGCGGCCAGCGTGTCGCGCGGAGCGTTGCCATGGTGACCCATGGCAACGCTCGGACGGCCGCGGGTCTCGCGAGAGTTGCACTGGGGAGCTGGAGGAGCTGCTGGGAGGTGAGTAAGCGCTTGCTCTCCGCCCCCCCAGGACCGCCGGGCTTGTAATGAGCCCGGCGGTCCTAGGAGGTATTATCGGCAATATCGGTATCTGAATTGGCCGATACCGATATTGCCGAAAATACCGAATATCGGCTGATTATATCGGTAAAACCGATAATCGGTCGATCCCTAGTTTTAATCCAGCTTTGCATCATATTGCAGAGATACTCATTCTGACATTATTTTATCCTATGCATAAACTGCTGTTAAAAGACCAATTTTATTATAGATCTATTCTAAAATGTTTCCATTCTACATGAACCTTGCGCTGCGAAAAACCAGTTTTTTTTTCTTCATCTGTAAAAAATAAATAATAATAATTGGCATTCTCAGCACCTTCTCCCAAACATGCTTCTATTGTGAGCCTCAGTGTTCCACGCCCAGCAAACTGCATTTCTATGAGTTCACTTTGCAGAGCATTGTTGCTTGGAAACCAATGCACCGTTGATAGTGTTGGGCAGCATGTCTTAAGATGCTCGATAATAAAACACTTTATATTACAGCCCTTACTTTTACATTTACATTGTATCTAAGACAAAGATAAAAGTGAAGAAAGGCAATAAAGCCAATAAACGTGATTTCATATGGTTTTGTATTAAATCTGTCATAACTTCTTAATAAACAGAATGTTAGAGAATATAATACAAAGCACTTCAAACCTCCAGGAAAACAGAAAAACTCTTTGGTCTCTTCTAGAATTCAAGGTTTAAAATAAATCACATAACATTCTAACCCTTTGAGTGCCATGTGCTGATTATCATTGACTCACTTGGCAGAGAGCCCTCATGACAAAAACTCTGATGGAAACGCTTGTTTCATAAATCAGGATTTTTTCTTCGACTAAATATTGCCTTAGAGAAATTTGGCCCCTGTGTGTGATAAGATATCTTATTCCCCCTCCTCTGATCAAGAAAGCAAAAAAAAAAAAAAATACTCTTTTTTAAAGCCCAAACACCTCTCTCTTTAGCATTATTCTCATAAAAACAAAATGTCTAAAGGGTTATCTGTTCCCAACCTAGCCTTGCTGGCCAGGCCCCCCTGCATAGGGACTAGTGTTGCAATACGTCTAAGTAAAAGTACTGGACCTTCTCCTGTCTTGCCCAAACAAACCTGAGTTCACCAAGTCAGACCCATACAGAGAACTACATATACTCATTATGTTACCGGAGGAATAACAGGAACAAACCGCAGAAGCCACACATAGAGATATGGACACAAGTCTTCAGGAAGTAACAGGTCTTTTATTTACACACAGATCGGGTCTCACACTGAACTTGTGTTCAAAAGGTATGAGCCCAGAGCATAGTTTGCACAGGCTATTTATTAACAATAACTCCTCCCATTTATAGCTCCACTCACACATACCCTTAGACCAATCAGTGAACAGGATATTCAGGATCACCTAATATGGGCAGACTGTATGACTCCTTTTAAGGACAAATGAATGTGACTACAGTTGATGCACATGCTCAGTACATTGATGACAGTATCTTAGCTACATGTAACTAACTAACAGATACAACAAACACCTGTACTTGTATATGCCACATGGAGATTTCAGGCCTACTAAATGTTGAAATACCATCACATTCCCCCCTTTGATGCCAACACCTTTCAAGTAACCATGAGCCGGGACAGACCTTATAAGCATTCTAACTTAACTCTATTACCTCTCAACACTCATCGACCTGATTATTAATAGTCTCTCTCTGGGTTAGGGGTTCATATTTCCAGATGGCCATTACATGAGCAGCTGTCTTCCTTTCTATAGTGCTCTCAATAACACTACGTATAGACCTAACTACTAATGAAATCAGACAGGGCAGGAAGAGGCATAAGAAAATAATAAATACCACTCCTCCTACCAATGTCTTAATCCCACCAAGCTGCTCATACCAACTATTTGGATTATACCCGTTACAAGTCTGAGTGGGTACGTGCGCCAGTTTAACCATATTGCTGGTAATGTCAATCACTGCCTGCCCCTCATCATCTATATGCAAACAATAATTACTAAGGTTAAACTTTCCACACACACCTCCTTCTACTGCCAGCAAATAATTTTGGTAAATTGCTGATCTCATGCGGGTATTTTGCTTTGCCAAAAGGTTAAGGGCCTTAGCTGTCTCATTGGTTATGATCTCAACCACTGCCTGTAATCTATAATGCGGTTGAGCATTTATTTATATATATATATATATATATATATATATATATATAGGGGTTCGGTAACCATAAGTACCATCTTCAGCCCAGGTAGCAGGTCCATAATAATTAATAATACGTTGGGGAGACCACTCATCATCTTCCCAGTTACCTACATTCAATGATGCTCGCTTCTTTTTATGATTTACATCATAAACCTTAACTCCCAAGGTCTCTCCCGTTTCAATTAGTAACAAGAAGAAGGATGGTTTGAGCATACCTAGCACACATGCTCCCTCCCAATCTTGTGGCAACTCTTAGTATGCTTTCTTACCACAGATCCAGTATAAATTCACTGGGGCTTTCCAGTTGGATGTAACAGATAAGTCAAACCATACCTCTTTCAAATTGGTGTAATTGGCAAAAGAATTAGTAGGTTCCGAGACATTTGAAGATGACCACCAAGTAGTATCTTTTGTATCAGCATTATAGGCCTTCTGTCCCAGACATGTTAACTCGCCAACTAGTGTATTATACAGTGGCCCTTTCCTGGCTAAACATACATGACCTGTAATACATGTTTTTAACTGATGAGTCTGAGCAGCTGTTGTCTCAGTTTCAATACCTACATCTAATATGGCTCCCGGATCTGTTCCTGTACCATGTATCTGAAACCCAAAAAGACTCCCAAACGTATCAATAAATTGCTGTGGATTGGAAATGGTCATATGTACGGGATTGCATTCCATGGTTTTACAATACGGTGTAGTGGGCAACCTTTGGATAATCATGTCTTGATCTACTATCTTTCCCCAGGTCGCCCACCCTACACATGACCAAAACGGGGCAGCAGTTAAAATCTCTATTTGGGCAGTCAGGATCAGTAGATCTTTTACTAGGGCATAAATATTTATTGTTGAACACAGATTACAACATACATTCCAAGGTTTTCTACCACCCGAAATCACCTTACATGCATCAAATAATAGAATACCCGTAGAATGTGTGGTGCTTATCAAAGTCCTATTTATCAATGTCCCCTGAGAGTTACTATTTTGAATTACCAACCAAATTGTACGGGGTTGGAATTGGGGATCGAAACACTTAGGCTCACCTGATATCGGATGACACACACTATAATCAGTATCTAAACCTAGAGTAACAGGGGACATTATCCTCATTATTATCGTTTTCAAGAACTGTTACTTGCCAATAGACATTGGGCATAGACTCATCTATCCTCACACCAATTTGTCTAATAATAAGCAAGATCTTTTATGTAAACCCACTTATTAGACGATAGGATCTCACTTTAAGGGCCAATAAAGTCCGCAGTGGGTATTTCACTACACAATTTCGTTTCAGTGAAATTATTTTGTCATTTATTTATTATTTTTCGTTTATTATTATTAGATGTGTATTGAGTGCACTTGTTCGGTGTGATAGTGTGTGTTTAGTGTCCCTAATATTAAGGGACTTTTTTTTTTTTTTTTTATTCTTTATTTTTCTTGTGCATAGTTTAACAACGAGCATGTAGAGCCACGACAGCTTCTACTAGCATTTCCATAGCATTACAAAGCGTGGCAGCTTAGACAGCACATTTTTTATATTACATGAAAATATCATACGATTAGACATCATGTTTGTGGTATAACTTGCTAGGCTAGACATGCACAGAACAGAACTAGTTGCTCTTTAGGTTATGCGTGTGTATCTTGGTGGTAGTGTGACATATAGGCATTAGGAGCACAGTGATTGAATTAACTAGATGTGCAGTTAGCAGAGGTAATAATGCTATATATGTATGTCCCCCAGCTAATCTAGAAGCTTGTCATCGCAGCGATAGGGAGGACAGACATAGGGTGCTCAGGTATAGTATAGATTTAAGGCTTGCTGTGTGTTATTGTGAGTATGAGAGCTTAACACTATGGGGACCTTCACCCAACAAGAGGACATACACTAAAAGCCAGTGAAAACAAAGAAAGTCAAAACAGAGTAATGGAGCATAACAGTTGCATTGGGTGCCTAGTAGTTAGGGAGTCAAGCTAACTAGCCGATATCAGCTGCAACATGAATTTGACTTCTTTGTGAATGGGACAGTCCAGAACACAGGACACTGGGCTATATCATTAAAAAATATAACAGGCTTAATGTCTCACTGGGTAACGTTAGGGCATGGAAAGGATCACCACCGGAGTTTCTTTGGGGAAGTCACCTTGTCCCACGGGTCTGGCTTCAGCGG